GAGAGAACCCCAGCCGGCCGCGTCCCCGGGGCGCGACGACAGACGCCGACCGACGCCGAGGGAGACGACGGCGCCCACGGCGGCGGCGGCGACGACCGACGTCGGCCGTGCGTGGCCTCCTCCTCTTTCCCCTCCATCCCCACTTTCTCTTCCTCCTCTTCCTCCTCCTCCTCCTGCTCCTCGTCCTCCTGCTCTCCCTCCTCCTCCTCCTCCTCCTCCTCCTCTGCCTCCCCCTCCCCCTCCTTCTTCCTCGTTCTCCTCCTCCTCATTCTCCTCCTCCTCTCCCTCCTCCTCCTCCTCCTCCTCCTCCTCTTCCTCCTCCATCCCTCTTTCTTCTAAAGAAGTCTTTGTCGCAGCCCCAGACGTGTGCGTAGGGTGGGTCGTTCGTTTCGTTCGAGACTTCCTCGCCACTTTTGATCTTGAAGCATAGAATTTGCAACAGAGCCGCGGGTGGAGGGCGTGCCGTTTCCAGAATGTGGCTTTCGCCTACGCGCCGCGCGGATTCATTTAACTGCTGCAGTATCTTCACGGAAGGAGTGCGGCCGGTTTTCAAAATGTTGTTCTCGCTTCAGCGCCGTGCGGTTTCGTTTTCAATGAGGGTTTGTATGGTCGAAGTCCCAGGAATGGTTTTTCTTTTGTCACGAATTGAGGCGATCAGGACGCAACAGTAGCTTACTTTCGCTGTTTTGAGGTCCCAGGATTGGCGTTCTGACATGACTTACGATGGTCAGGACGTAACCGTCGCGTTGACCTGCGGCGTTCCCAGCAGCGGTGTTTCGGCACAATTGAGAGTTCTCAGACTGTTGTGGTCTATTGGGCCATCTCCCTCCAACGAAGGCTTGCGTGCCAGTGTGCGCCCCTTATACAGTGCGTTTCTGACAGTCTATGTGGTGCAACATAGGTGGGACAACCTGTGGTGCAAGCGACGTGGTGCAATCTAGGCTGTGCAGTAGATGTTATGCAATTTAGGTTGTGCAATCTGTGTGGTGCACCGTTTGTGGTGCAGTATCGGTGGCGCGATAGATGTTGTGCAGCCAATGTTGTGCACAATATGTGGTGGAAGCTATGTGTTGCACTTCGCTCTGCCGAAGTTGAGGTTGTCAAGTCCACTGCTCTCACCATCATCCCACCCGCCCGGGCGCAATGTGCTTTACCAAACCAGTCGGCGGCGATTGCGATGACTGCTTGGAGACTGGCTGTCGCATCGCTGCGGCCGCGCTGGCGCGCGCAGGCTCGCGCGCAGAGCGGCCAGCTAGTCTGGCGCGGCCGACGCAGCTGGAGTGGCACTGACCAGTTCCCACTGCGCCTCGCAGCCCGCGCTGACGCGCGGGCACTTCATTGCGACTCTGTGGATCGGGCGGGCGCTGTATCATGGCGACGTCGACGAGGGCAGACACGATGATGATAGTAGCGGTGCTCGTGTCGTGCCCCCCCCCCCAGCACGCGCGCACGGGCGTTCGAATGATGTCGTCACGCGCGCGCGAAAGGCCCATCTGGTCGCATTGAATGAAGGTGTTTAATCACAAGCCATTGCTTCTTACAGCTTCGCAATCGCGCAGACACTTTTCGAAACGCCGCATGGCGGAACTTTTATTGGTCGAAGTTGTCCAGGCGAAAGATCCAACCATATGCAGCTGTGAATGCCGCGGTGATGCGCATCCTCTTCGGAGGAGCTCCCTGTGAGGCCACTAGCTGTGCGACGCGGGAATGGGTGGCGCGGACGCATGGGAACGTCGCCGCGGGGGCCCTCGGTGGAGCTCCCCATGGGGCCGCGGACCGCGTGAGGGGTGTGCCGACATGGGTGGCGCGGGCGCGCTGGGAAGTCGCCGCTGAGGCCTTGGGTGGAGCTCCCACTGGGGCAACGAAGCGTGCGATGGGTGTGCAGCTTCGAACCGTGCGAGGGGTGTGCCGAACGGAGCCGCGCGGACGCGTGGGAACGTCACCATTGGGGCCTTCGGTGGAGCTCCCCATCTATGCGTCGCGAACCGCGTGAGGGGTGTGCCGGAATGGGTCGCGCGGACGCGTTGGAACGTTGCCGCTGAGGCCTCAGGTGGAGCTCCCCATGGCGCCGCGAACCGCGGGGGGGGGGCGCGACGGAATGGGTGGCGCGAGCGCGTGGGAACGTCGCCGTTGGAGGCTTGGGTGGAGCTTCCTATGGGGCCGCGAACTGCGCGAGGGTTGCGCCGAAATGGGCGGCGCGGGCGCGTTGGGAAGTCGCCGCTGAGGCCTTGGGTGGAGCTCCTTATAGGACCGCGAACCGTGCGGGGGGTGTGCCAAGAATGTGTGGCGCGCGCGCGTGGGGGCGTCGCCGCTGGGGCCTTCGGTGGAGCTCCCCACTGGGCCGCGAGCCGCGCGAGGGGTGTGCCGACGTGGGTGGCGCGGGGGCGCAGGGTAACGTCGCCGCCGGGGCCTTGGGTGGAGCTCCGTCCGCGCGCCGGGTGCGCCGACATGGGTGGCGCGGACGCACGGGGAGGTCGCCGTTGGAGCCTTGGGTGGAGCTGGGGCCGCGAACAGTGTGAGGGCTGTGCCGACATGGGTGGCGCGGGCGCATGGGGGCGTCGCTGCTGGGGCTTCAGGTTGAGCTCCCCATGGGCACGCGGAGCGCGATGGTGATGGCGATGACGATGGCGACGATGATGATGGCGATGGTGATGATGGTGCTGATGATGCTACTCGTGATGATGATGATGATGATGATGATGATGATGATGATGGTGGTGGTGGGGGGAGGGGGGGGGGGCGCGGGGCGCTGTGTCTTCAAAACGAGAACCCAACGTCACATGATGGTTTTGAAAAATAGTGCGTTCGACCGTGCGACACTTTTTTGGGGTCTTTGGCGGATGTCGGCATGCGCGCGCGGGGGCGCGCGCGCGTCGTCATTTATTCATGGGATCCTTGCGCGTGGATGATTCTTGATGAAAGAGCGTGCGCGCAGTACTCTTTGCAAGGGGTGATGGGGTGGGGGCCCCGCGTAGCTGGGATGGCTTAATGTCTTATGTAGAACGGATGATGGGGCAGGGTCACGTGTCAATCGTATGCTCTCGGGGGGGTGGGGTGGATCATCTCAGGGGGTCCTAATTTCTTGTTTAGACTGGAGAATGCAACTTGGTGAATGGATGCCGTGCAATCGACGTGGTGCAACTTAGTCGTGCAATATTTGGTGTGCCGTCTGCTGGGTGCTGTCTACGCGAGGCAATCTATGTGGTTCACTTCGCCCTGTCGAGCGTGGAGTGGCCAACTCCATTGCTCGCGCAATCATCCCGCCCGACCGCGGACAACTTGGATTGCGAACGAAGCCCATGCGGTGGCGATTGCGATGTCTGCGCGGCGCTGGCTGGCGCATCTCCGCGGCCGCGCTAGCGCGCGCAGGCTCGCGCGCAGAGCGACCACCTAGTCAGGCGCGACCGACTCTTCCAGGGTGGCGCCGACCGCTGGGCATTTCCGAGCGCGTCTCGCAGGCCGCGCTGACGCGCGGGCATTTCGGTGCGAGCCGGCGGCTCGGGCGGGCGCGGCGCTCCGGCGACGTCAGCAGCGGCGGGCGCGATGATAGTGGGGGTGCGCGTGGCGCGATGGCGATGGCGACGGCGTGGCCCATGGTGGCGCCGAAGCTAATCGCGCCGGTGACGATGATGGCGTCCGGGCGACGCGTCGGCGTCGAGGGCTTTGGGGGGATTTCGCTGCCGGCGGGCGCGAGTGGTCCGCGTGGTATTGTTCGACGGGAATCGTGCCCCCCCCCCCGCGCGCGTCGCTTCTTCTTCTTCCGCTTCTTGTGTATATATATATATGATTTAGATATAAAAGATTTTGTTTTGTTCTTTTCCTTCCAAGGAAAGATGGGGCGGGTTGGGGTGGGGGGCGGCGTGGCCGGGGTCGACGTCGCGGGTGCGCTGCGCATCCCCCGCGGGGGCGGATAATCCACGTGGGCGGGGGGGGGGGGGTCGTGATCTTCCTGTCCGTAGAACCTATGTCGTGCAAGCTTTGTGATGCAGCCTATGTTGTGCAATGCGGGTGGTGCAATGTTTTGTGATGCCCAGCAGGTGGTGCGATCTATGGGTGCAACCTATGGCATGCAATCTTTGTGGTGCAGTTTGTGCGGCGCGATCTATAAGTTGCAGTTCCTTTGCAAATGGCCCGGCGCATTCCACGCTCTTGCAGACGTCGCCCGCCCGCCCGCGACTTGTTTTGCAGGGCCCATGCGGCGGCGATTGCGATGGGTGCTTGGCGTTGGCTGGTGCGTCCGCGGCCGCGCCGGCCCCCGCGTGCTCGCGCGCGCGGCGGCCAGCTAGTCTTGGCGCGACCAGCGCGGCAGCGGTGGTCTGTCCGCTGGGCACTTCCCAGCGGGCATTTCCGTGCGAGTAGGTGACTTCGGCGGGCGCGTCACCATGGCGACGCCGACGGCGGCGGACGCGACTGTGAGATTATCGATGGTAGCGGCGATGGTGGCGATGTGGGCGGCCCGGCCATTGGCGGCGCCGATGTTGATCGCGCCCGCCGGTAACGATGGCGATGTCCTCGCGACGGCGATGGGGGCTTCTGAAGGTGTTAGTTCGACACGCGCGCGCGCGACCAACGCGCGCGAGTGGCCCGCGTTTTTTTTTTTTTTGTTTTTTTTTTTTTTTTTGTTTTTTTTTTTTTTTGTTTTTTTTTTGTTTGGTGTTTTTTTCTGTTAAAAAATGCTGATCGCGCCCCCCCACCCCGCCGCGCGCGCGAGGGAGTTCGAAGGAGTTCGACATGCGGCGCGACAGGCCCGTCTGGCAGAATTCGATGAACACGTTAAAGAATTTATGGGTTCCTTTGGAATCCGCAGGACGGCGAGCGCGAGCTTTCTTGCAAACTGACCTTGCACAACCATGTTTGTCTCATCTGTTTTCGGGGCGCTCGATCTTGCAAACCGTGCGTGGCCTGCGGTTTTGGAGGGGCTGAGGCGCGCGCGCGCAACGACGCGGGCGCGCGCGCGTCGCCCCGTTCTTGTTGCAGGGGATTTTTCGAACAGCGCGCGC